TTCAGCGTCAGTTTTAGCCACCCATCATAGGTTATCGCGTTATAACTGTCTTTATTAAAAATCTTTTAAAAATAAAATATAATTTTCTGAAATTTTATTTAAGGAATATTAAGAAATTTAAACTTTAATTAATCTGATTTGAAAAAAAAAATTACTTACTTAAGTTTGAAATATTGCAGAAATGCATTTTTAACACGGTGGTAGCAGTTTATTTAAGGTGCCGACAGGTTAACTGACAGAAATTTAATTTTTTTCTACAGTGGATATATCAGTAAAAATTACTTGAGGAATGTAACTTGAGCGCTTTTTAATATAATTTTAAACTACTCAGTAATCTTTACAATTTACGAAAATATTCATATTCAAATGTTTTATGGAATTTTAGGCACTTCGGTTTTAAATTACTATAGTTATCACATCTGCAAAGTAAGACAGAATTTTAAAAGATTTAAAACTTTATAAATTATAATTAAAATAAAAAATGAAAATAATTCTTGTAAAAATTCATTATTAATTGAATTTTTTTCTTAAAACAATATAGTGTCCATAATATCTTATTCGTATAAGCAATTAACGATTCAGAGCAGATTTTCTGTGACTGGTATTTCTGTTTTACAAAAAGAAATGGATGATTTAAATTCCCCAAGGAATTCTGCTTTTTAAACATTAAGCTCTACGAAATTTCATAAAATCTCTCGAAATTTCATAAAATAAAACTATGCTTTTATTAAGTTTCTGTTTGGGGCATTTTTTTATCATTTTCATCATGCTCACTTGTTAGTGAATCTGTGGAGGTACCTACTTTTTATATAAGATTATTTTATTTAAATTTAAACTCTAGGTAAAAAAATAAATGCTGACTAAACAATCTCTTACTTTTATATGCAGAAGTGTTGTCAAAGTTTTTAAAGCAAAGGCTTGATTGGAAGGAAGAGTTTTACTTCAGTTTATGAAATGAAATGAAAATGTGACAATTCCAATATCCAAGATCTTTTTTTATTACTCTTTGCTTTGATTTTATGGCATTGTCTCTCTCCACGCACCCTTTTAAAACTTTATATCTTTATTCTTTCTTCCACTATTAACTCATTCTTTTTCTCACTTCTATGTAAAAAAACAAAAAAAAAAAAAAAAAAAAAAAAAAAACAAGCAAAAAAAATACATGAAAATAAAGCTCTGGTGTCAAAATATGAACTTCTCACATAGGCGTGAAAAATTTGGCCCCAAGTTTTTCCAGTTGAACGCAAGAATTCATAGAAATTGAGTTTTATTGCTGGTAAAAGTAAAGTTCAAGGGACTTCAAAGAAAAGAATTTATTTACCAACTTAATTTTTTTTTAACCATTTTTTAAAAGATATTTTATATTGTATTTTAATTTTTAGTTTTAATTCGTTTTTTTACAAAATATTTTATTAAATTTTCTTCTTAACTTTGATGCCACATCTGCAAAAGAAAAATATCACAGGAAATTTTCTTTTATATTCTCGTTTTTTATTAAGTGTTTTAAATGAATATTTTGCTTATTAGAAATATTAATAATTAAATATTAGCTTGAAATTAAAATTAAAATTAAAGCTTCAAGAAAAATTCATTTTAAACCTTATTTTCACTTCTTTCTGTGAAGATAACTAATTTTATAGGATTGACGAACGTTTCTTTAAGAAAGTATATCGGCTGTAAAACATTCTTTTTTTCATATTTAAGATTCCAAAAGTTTCTTTAATGAATCCTAATTCAAAAAAAAAAAAAAAAAAGTAACGTATCAAAGCAATTTTAATTCAAAAATAAATTAATACGAGGTAATCTTTTCATTAAAAATAAAGCATTTATTTACGAGATTAATTTATATATCATTAAAAATATTATTAGATAATAATTATTATTAAAATTATCATAAAACGTTATTAATAATTATAGAAAATTTAAATATAAAAATATAATTTTTATATATTTTTTATTTCATGTATTTTGGTTGTGGTGACTTTTTGCTTTGTTTTTCAACTTTCGATAGCAATTTTTTTTGCAACGTCCAAACCAAAATAGATTATAAAAAAAAAAAAAAGAGGAAAAGAAAAAAAAAATGATTCGGCTTTTATTCCGAAATTCTTCTGTTAGATTGTAAGTGCTATTTTCACGGAGTGGGTAGGTGGAGCATGTGCCGTCAAGTTTCCTAATTGTATCTTTTTGGAGACAAAGTTAACAGATCAAAGAGTTTAGCAGACTTATGGCGGGACGTAGAAGAAGACTTAATATCGCGGTTAACCCGTAGTAAAATAACTAAATAAACGAATTTTTAGACGAAAAAAATGAAAGACACCAGAATAACATTAAAAACCGCGATAATTGTTCAGCCTTTAATAGTCAGCAGATGTGCTTAGTTTAATAATTAATTTGTAGCGTATATAAATGTGGGTAGAGAAAAATCAAATGTTAATAAGATAGCGTGGGTCACAAAGAACTACATGAGACCCCACCCAGATTAGGGGGTTCGTGGTGTAAGCGCCGGCCCTGTACGTGATGATAAGTAATTTTGATGAACTGATTTAAAAAAAATGATATCATTTTTTCTCCGTCAGGTCTAGATTTTTCTGCTTTGACTTTGAGATATCCACATTTCTTTTACAAATTTATAACGTTTGAAAATACTGGTCAAAATGTAATCAATCGCTATTTTATTCATGCCAAACTGTGGGTAAAATAAACCTTTTTCACAAACTCATCGATCTTTTTCCTCCTGCGTTGAAAACTATATTCACCAATAAGGTAACAAAACGCACAAAGATATTGCTGATACAATTTCGCTTGGACATGTTTTAAATTGGTATGTAAATATTTATCCAGGAATAAAAATGTAAGTATTGATTTGAAAATAAAAATGTATTTAAAAATCTAATTTCTACGCATATAAAAATCATAAACTTTCTTCTTAGTAAATGTCTTTAACACTGACATTAAGATCAACAAAACAAAAGTTGTATTTCTCTCCTTCAAATATAAAATTCACACATTAATTTTAGAACCTTCAAAATTTTGACTCATTTTATTTTCTTGTGCCACCTTGAAATTTTAGCGTTTATTGCGGTTAAAAACAAACTGATTTGCAAATTCTTGAAAAAATCAAATAATTGTCGGATTATATAGTGAAACTTTCAGGACTTATTCACAAATGAATGAAATTATTTTTGAAATGTTTCTTTTTAGAAAATCTTGGTAAAAATTCATTTTTGTAGGGCTTAATTTTTATATTATAAGCACAAGTCTTTGGAGTATTTAAAATCTTCATTTTTTTTTGTAAAACAGAAAATCTCTGAATCGTATAAAAATACAATAAAACTAAAACATTATTTAATTAGGAAAGCTTCTACTTGCTTTTATGAATGGACACTATTGTCTTCTTAGGAAAAAAAAATTCGATGAATAATGAACTAGTTTTTTTTAAAATTTAATTAAAATAATTTATAAAATTATAAATTTTAAATTCTATATTAATTTGTAGCCGTTAGATAATATTGTTAATTTGTTATTAAATAAAAACTATAATCCTAAATGGAAAAGTTTACTCCAATTCAGTCATTCCCAGTATTTTTTAAAAAGAATTAAAAAAAAATTGTGTGTGTATGAACGTGCCGATTTTTGTAAATATGGACGTCCATACACAACAAATTAAGAGCGGTAATCACAGTAAAATTAAAACCTAACATTCAATAAAATATTAAATTACTTAGAATATTTTTCTAAATTTTTAAGATTACCGGGTCGTTAAAAAATTATATAAAATGTTGCTCATGTTATATTCAAGTAATTTTTAGATATGTGCCCCGTAGAAAAAAAAAAAAAATCCGAACATAAGCCTATCGAGAATTGTCAACACCTCATAAAAATACTCACCTCCCTGTTAAAAAATGCAAGTAATATTTGTTTCAAATCAGATCAATTAAACTTTAAATCAGGTACTCTTCTTAAAATAAAATTTCAGAAAAGTATATTTTATTTTTGAAAGATTTTTTAATAAAAATAATTATTTTATGGTGCTGACTTGTAAATAGGGCTAAAAAGTCAGCTACTTTTAGCGATTAAAAAAAAATAATTCCAATAAATTTAAATTTGTTTTGAAATACAGCAAGATATTTTGCTTATTATTGGAAATATACAATTGAATCTTTTAGCTTGAAATTAAAGCTAAAAAACGCTTCAAGAAAGATTTTTCATTTTTTAATTTTTTAAATTAATTTTTTTTAATAAACCTTTGGTATCACTTTTCTGCTTGCTTTTAATTAAATTCTTCTATTTCAATGCCTAAGAACAAATTTTGCCAAGAGTAAATTCAGTTTGTGAACTGAAAGTGAGTAGGAATATGGTTTTGACGGATAAAAATCCAACACAAAACCGGTCACTTTTCAATTTTCATTTATTCTTATAATTTGTGACCTTAATTACTTCACTTCTTGAAATAAATTTGCCGAATTTTCATTTTAGTCAACAAATAGCGATTGTTGGCCTGAATCTTCAAAAGTTACACAAATTTCGAAAAAAAAAAAATGGGCATATCCTCAAAGCAGAAAACTAGACGGGATGTGGAAAAAATGATATATTTTTTACACAGAACTTTTTACGTTCTTATGAATTGAATAATACCAAAATTTAACTTCAAAGAAGAACTCCATGGTGCTATCTAAAAGCTTGCTATTGCAAGAAAATGCCCTTCCTAAACGACATGACTATACTGTTAGTTATTTGTTTCCAAGTAGGCAGATAGTACAGAAGACTAAGATTAATGTAGGGCCAGACCAAAATTATCTTAAACTCCAGAGTCGCTGCCACAAAACAAAAGCCAAGGAGACCCGCAACTATCCACGTTCTTAATGCTATAAAGGGAGGTAACTCTATGTGCCTTATCATTCGAGTTACTGAACGGAAGTGTGCTCTACATTTATTGGCGGGATATTGGAAGTGTGAGTTAATGTTTACACACTGCACGTAATGCAATTAAAACAGCAAAGATGAAGTCTCTGCGAATCCAAGAAAGACAGGTGACTGTAGCTTCCTATCAGCAACGTTGGTTGTACGTCTACTCCGGAATTAAAAGACAGGTATCGATATTCTCAAAAACTTTCTTTTTAACTTTTTTTAGTCAGTGTTGGCATAAGGGAGATAACTCTAACTGGCTTTACAACATCACAATTTCATAATATAAAATATTCCTTCTGAAAAAAAAAGGGAACAGAATTAAGGAATCAATAATAATAAATATAGGAGTCAATATATTTGATATATTCATCATTGAAGATCATTTACATGGAGATATCATGGCGTGATTAGCGAGCAGAGTAGTGAGTTCGATTCTGACAGGGGGTCCTGTACCAAACTAAGACAAGCTGATGAGTACTGTAAATTGCATAAAAATAGATGTTATTTTTTGCTAGGAAATGTTTATCGAATTAGCTAAAAGTTTAAGGAGAAAAAGAGTCATGAAAGTTTACGGATGTACATGTCTGTCACCAAAACTGCCTACTATTTTTATTATTTTTGTTAAGTAGCTTTGTACAAGTTTTAAATTAATTTGCACTCCATGAATCAGAAAAGGAATCCATATGGCATAAACAAACTCAACTTTACGACGAGAGATAGTGTTTTTATTCTTTCTTCTTTTTTTGTTTTTTTTATTCTAATTCGGCTTATTTCCGTTTTTAAGTATTTCTGATGTACCGCTTTAGAGACTTTCAATATTTCGCTAAAAAAGAGCATGAAAAAAAGGCCCAAACTTGATAAACATTTGTTTTTATCGTCTAAAAATGTTTATGTTGAGAGGAAAGACTAAAAAGTATTTTTCGATTATTTTTTAATCCTTCATAGCACGTCTGAAATTTTAGTTAAAAATCTTGTTTATTTCTTTTTCTTTTTTGAGTCAGCAAAATTGCCATAAAATCGATCATGTCAGCCATTTTTAACAACTTTGTAAACAAAAGTGAAATGCTCCTTTTAAAAATCTTGTAAAAATCAATTATACTTTTTTGAAAAATTATTTTAGGAAAATTAGAGAACTTAATGTAATTGGAAATAAACATTACTTAATTTTTTAGCAGAAAAAATTTAATTGAAAATAAGATAAGCTAAGCATGTCTAACTGTGGTGATTGGTTTCGGAGGTTTGAAGTGACGTTTAAATCAATGTAATGGCAAATAATGTCAGAGCAGTTTATCGGACGGAAAGGCAGAAGTGACAGTATTTGGGAATTTTAAGTGAACCAGATTATTTATAAAATAATTCTTAAAAATTAAATACTTTCAAATGTCTAATATTTTATTGATTTTTGGGGGTAATTTTTTAATGAAAATATGTCCAAAGCCTGCACTGTTTCTGTCCCTAAAATTGAATCTAAAAAAGAAAATAATTAATAATTGCAGTATGTCTCTCACTGAATAACAATATATTATATTTAAAAAATGAAATGAAAATATTTAGTGAAATAGGATGTACAAAGGGAAAATTAAAATTTTGAAAATTGATGATCAGTCAGTGAATTTGATACGTGCTAGCCAGAAGGAAAGCAAAGCCATTTCTTAATGCCTTTCTCTTAAACTATGTGACCTATTATTTCTGAACTGTGCATCCATAGTTTTGCAGAAAACATTTTAATACATTTTTTGCATATTAAAAAATATTTTAAAACTACTATCGTGTCGCGGACTGTAATAAGCTTTCAAATTTATGATCTGTAAATATTGATCTATTAATAACAGCATTTCCAAAAATACATAGCTTCAAACTTTTAAATATTTAACACATTTATCACATTTTGTATTTAAAATTGGAAAAAAAGAAAACAATTCTTGTAAAAATTCATTTTTCATCAGACACTAGTGTCCTTATATATTATTAATAAAAGCCATTAAAAGCTTTTTTTAATTAAATAATGTCTTAGCTTTTTTGGGGTTTTGTATTTTACAATTCAGAGATGAATTTTGGGTAATATTGGGTCCAAATTTACTAAAAAAAAATTGATGATTTAAATTCTTTAAAGTCTTCAGGTTTTAACTAATATAATCACAAAATTACACAGATCATTCATCATATATATTTGTGGCCCTGTGCTGATAGAAAGAAAAACAAGTAATGAGTAAATTAATATTATTCCACTTCTTTTTTTTTTTTTTTTTACTAGTACGACAAATATTTAAAATTTAATTATTACTACCAATCAAACTTCTGCAAATCTGGAACATTCTCTATAAACATTTTTGCTGTACGAAAACTTGCCTCAGGAATTTTCACCATAGGAAACTGCTGTATAGGATTTTTGCTGTAAGACAATTTTGACACATTTTTATTTTTGAAATTCCTATCTTGAATGTCCCTTTTCGAGTAATGTTCAATTTAATATGCGAAGTACCTTTTTATCAAGTGTATAGGGATGTCTTTTTTACAGGGTCAAACATCAGAAAAGAAATTAAAAAGTAAATATTTATTTAAAAAATAAAAGATTAAAATATATCAAATTAACAAAGAAATAATTTAAAATGTGTGCAAATTCCAAGCAATGCTTTATAAATAATGTGTTTTTTGCATTGGACTGTAATGAAGCATTTTCTACTGAAAATCTTGCATTGATATCAATCTATATATTTTCTTCATTTGTACTGCATCTCCTTGATCTAAATCAGACTTTTTCTTTTTTGCTAATGTTTTTTCCTTTTTCAAATACGCAATAGGTTTCCACAAATTTGGGTGCATCCTATAACTTTACTTATTAAATCCAAGTAACTATAGTGTGAGCCAGATATACTTGATAACAAGGTACTTTGCGTATTAAAAAAAAATGAGGTGAAATTGTCTTATGGCAAAAATCCTATACAGCAAAGTTTTCCTATGGCAAAAATGTTTACGGCAAATGTTCCTTGAATGACATTTGCCAAAAAATTATTATGTAGTGACAGGAAATATTAAAAGAAAACTTAAAACAAGCATTCTATATACATTAACAATGTAACAATAACAATGCATTGCAAATGATTTGGGCACTTTGTAGTTATACGATGGCAATGCAGGTGCAATTTTAAACGACTACAATAAAGACATTATTACATTTATTTTAATAATAAATATTAATCATAAAATTTTAATTATACTAACTGTAACAACTACAATCTTCCCACAGTCAATTTTCAGTGCTTCTGAGTATGATTGCCTAGAACAACGCATCACTAAAGTTAAAGTATGTGATTTACAAGTTGAGAAAATTCGCTACATGAAAATCATGAAAAATAGATATATACGGAATAAGACAAAAAAAGAAAAAGAAGTCTTTAAACAAATAATAATACCATATGATAAAAAAAAACAAAAAAACTGACATATAAAGGCTGGATGGCACAATGGCCTAAACATGATAACGACAACATAATGAGGTCAATTGTCTACATGTAAATAATGATAAAACTCCTCATCCCATAAATAATTCAGACCGAATCAAAAGATAGATAGCCAGGCTGTTGGGAATTTCCAGAGATTTGCTACTATTGAAGTGTTTTAAGTGCAATGAAGTCTGGAAATCCACAAAAGTTACACAATCCATATGAAACAAAGATTGCAAGAGTCTCAGTAGACATTCTAAAATTAACAGCCAGACAATTGAGGAGCGAATGCAGTAAGGTTTCAGTTGATAAACTGTGCAGAGTATTATAAAAAAGAAAAAACAATTTGAACAGGCATATAGCAGAAAAAACAACCAAAAAACATTGGACTAGAAGATTGAAGTGGTCAAAAGAATGTCTAATATGAAATGCTGAAAAGTGATGAATGCAAAATAAAGTTATGACTGCAAGAGAATGTGTAAGAAGTCCAATGGAAGAAAGAAGCAATGCAAGATACACTACAAAGATTGCAAAATTTGGTGGTGGAAGCATAATAGTAATGGGGTTGCATCAAAAGTCAGATGTCCAGAAATTGCTGTCGCTTTCTGTCAGCAATACGTCTAGTCTTGCCGAAGCCTAGACGAGCAGTGGCCTCCCACGTCCACTCGCCGGGTTTTTAATGAGTAGCGGGGTTCTCTTATGCAAATAAGTCTGCTGCATAAAAATGGTAGTAGGCGTACGTACGCGCGACCGAATCTCAGAGAATGGCTCGACACGTGAGGCAGCAAATTCGCTTTGCTCCTGGTAAGTCACTGTCACTTCTATTACACTCCCCCCTGATCGTATGATCACATAAGTGACAGTGAGGGGCTGGTCGTTTCACGCTTGCACTCCTTCGCGGTGGTATAACCATGTCTTCCTCCCCGGCTGAATTGTCAGATGTGTCCTGGTCTGAATCATATTCCGGGGGATCATTAAGGATCAAGTCTACTTCTTTCTTGCTTTCAGATGAGGTGTCGCTGCTGCTTGCACTGGAGCTTGGTTCTTGCCATTCATTACTCTCTGACATTGTGTCACCGCCATCATCCGTTGGTAACAATGAAGTGAGCCGTGGACGTACATCTCCCACGTGTCGCGGTATCCCATCGATGACTACTGACTGCAAACTGTTTATTCCCGTGACGCGACCTTTCACAAACTTTGACGCAGCGTCCGTGCGGATTTTTTTACCCAAACTGCATCTCCTTCTTTATACCGAGTCGAAATCGCCCGGTTAGGCGAGGGCACAATGTCAATTCCTTTTATTCAATTTTGTATTTAATGCAGCAGATTGGCGGGCGAGAAGAGGCAGACACATCATCCCTGGGTGTAACGTTATACCAATACACGGCCTCCATAATAGAGCAGCTCTTCACAAGCAGCAATCCATTTGATTGTCTGATGACACCTCTCTACAATACCATTTCCAGATGGTTTGTACACACAGCGCGGTCGGAATCGGACGCCCCATTCTTCCGTGAATTGTTTGAATTGCTGACTGCGGAATTTCCACTGGGGCACCATGTTCGAAAAACACTGACTCCAATTGCCGGATTACATGTGCAGCGTCTTGCCGAACTAGTGGCCACCAGATTGAAAACCGTGTGGGGCCGCAATCGATCAGAGTCAAAAAATGGTGACCGTTATAGTGTGTGATGTCCATTCCCAGACAACTCCAAGTTTCACGCACACTGAGCTCTCCCTTCTGTCATCGCACAGAAGCTGGATCTATTGATTGACACTGTTCACAATTTCGAACGACCGATCTTACTGCTGCTTTCGACACTGACGGGTTGATCCTACGTGTGAAATATAGTGTCCGTTTAACTCCAGGGTGCCTGCTGTGTCGATGAATCTCAGTTAACTGAGCAAGGCTCGAGTTTCCTATGGCAGAAGCACATACTGGTTGAACAGGTTCGAGTTCCTTCACATTGTTGAACTACCTCTGGGGAACTCTAGTCAGCAAGTCAGCTCTGTTCTGGTCGGATCTAACTAGTGCTATGTCAACGGAAAGTTTATACTCTTTCACAAGAGAAGTTAGAGTTTCAAGTCGTCGGCTTATGAGCATCTCGCTAGCGGCCTTGGTGTTCAGCCGAGACTTTCCCATAAGGGCATTAGTCACCCAATGGTACACGCAGAGGGAGTCTGTGTTCACATGTAATACTGTAGCCTGCCATTTTAGCGCAAGGTTGATTCCCTTCAGCACGGCATCCAATTCAGCCACATTGATATGCTGGGTGTTTTTTATTGGCCGTAGCCAGCATGCGTGTCCTCGATGATGGCTCCCTTAGCCTCGAGCGCTACTCCTACAGCCAGCGAACTCGCGTCCACCCACACGTCTAGCTCCTTCGTATTCATGCACCATTCTCCCTGTGCAGGATCCAGTTGCTGAGCCCGGGCGAGGGTGTCCGTTATCATACGTTCCAGGGGAGCATCACAAATTTTGCCGTCCCAGTTTTGTGTTACGGCAGTGGCTCGACGTTTGATGATGCCTGTTGCTACTCACAGCCATCCACACACGGGGAAGTATCCCACCAGCCGGCCACACATGGAGAAAATACCTCTCCGTGTCATAGTCATAGGGCCGTTTACCATTCTACTTCCTCGTCGCCATCACAGTTGACCCTGTTCATTCCATACTTCTAGCCCCAGCACTCTGGCTCCGTCCTTACTTGTCAGTCCGTAGAGCTCGAGATGTTTCCTCACAGATTCCGCCGACGCCACATCCTCGTTGATATATATATATCGTCAATATATGCTGACGTTGCTCTATTTATAGTTTCATTCTGTGCTAACACAGCCTTAAGCACAGCTCACATTATCAGGGGCGCCACATTCAGGCCGAACCCCAGCCTGGTCAAACAATATCGCTTCCCTTTAAACATAACTGTTTGATATGGCCACAGGGATTTTTCAACACGGATCTGTAGATATGCTTTCCTGAGGTCCAGAATGGACATGTTCGCACCCTGCTGTCTCCAGTCTCGCAGTTTTTCTGCACAAACATCCATGACACCTGTGAATGATTCAACATAGGTATTCAGTTCCCTATAGTCCATCACAGGATGCACCTTATGCTTGTTGGTGTGCAGCACGGCCATCAGTGGTATCAGTCCCTTGGGTGGGCCAAACTCCTTGTTACTGTACGGCACCAACCAACCAACCATTGTCCATCCATGTTTGTAATTCATGCTCGTACTCCTCTCTCATCTCGCTGGATACTGGATATTCAGAGATCCGATTCTGAAGTTTCCCTGGTGCATGACCTGCCGACCACTTCCAGGCTGTGACCCAAACTCCCTGCCGTTCATTGAATTTCGCACTGAAATCAGCTTCGCTGATATGAATCGCTGCACTCGAGAGACATATCATCCGCCCTGGCCGAGGACTGCAGGAGCCTTTTCACAGGATCAGGAAGCCCCCGCACGAACACGCATGTCATCGCACTGTCTGGCACTCCTCCAAAAAGGACGGACAGCTTCCGTAGATCAGCCAAATATACATCTACGGTCTCACCCAGATGCAATACACGTACCTTGAATTGTTCGTATGCCGTGAATTTGTCAGGGGCAAATGCTGTCATCAATGCTCCCTTGATTCGAGCCACGTCCGATTTCTCTTCCGTAGATAGTTGCTGGTAAACCGCGAATGCTCCCCTGGTTAAGCGAAGGGGGATGACACGATCAAGCCGCTTCACTCCCGATAGGTCGCACACCAATTCCAAATTCTCGAGCCATTCAACCACAGATCCAGTCCCGTCGAACTCGGGAATAATTTTTAAATCAAACCAGCCATCCATGTTTGCCAAAATAGCTTGTCAGATGTCCAGAAATTGCTGTCGCTTTCTGTCAGCAATATGTCTAGTCTCGCCAAAGCCTAGATGAGCAGTGGCCTCCCACGTCCACTCGCCGGGTTTTTAATGAGTAGCGTGGTTCTCTTATGCAAATAAGTCTGCTGCATAAAAATGGCAGTAGGTGTATGCACGAGCGACCGACTCTCAGAGAATGGTTCGACATGCGAGGCAGCGAATTCGCTTTGCTCCTGGTAAGTCACTGTCACTTCTATTACAAGATGGTAGAAGAAAATTGGTAAAAATTGATGGAAACCTAAACAGTGAAAACTATTAGTTTACTGAGATCTAATGTGCCAGACTATAAAAATGGAGAAATTTTTCAGAATGATTTTCTCCTTGCCTTACATTAAGTGCAACTAAAATGTTTCTTGTGGATAATGATGTACACATTTTGGAAAACTGGTCAACACAAAATCCTGATCTCAATATAATTGAACCATTGTGGTGAGAACCGAAGAAAGTCCTCCAACAAAAACAGCACAGTCTCAAAGATCTTTGGGATTACTGCCAAGAAAAATGAAAAAACATTCCCAGTGAGAAAATCTGAACTTTGTTCCATTCAATGCAACATCGAATTAAGGCAATTATTCAAATCAAAAGCAGCAACTATATTTATTAACAACATGCTTGGACTTTGTCTTTTCTATAATTATAAAGTTCACTTTTTGTAAAAAAAATCCTTTTTAACTTAAACAAAGAGATGAAAAGTGAAATTTTTATTATTGGCCCAGTATTTTGAAATAAGAGTTGTTTTATTGATGTATGCCCTTAAAAAAATTTAGCTTAATCTCTAACATACTATGAAACATGAAGTTTTAATGAATTAACTGTATAATTTAAATTTATATATATGGTCAAAGTTGCCTTCCTATGTTATTTTTGCACTGTTTTTAGGATAGAATGTGCTGTTTAGACTGGTCTTATTTAATAATTATTAATTCCATTAGTATTATCTTTCTTTTATTATTTAATGACATTGCATTTATAATGAATTTTCACTGGCTTGAAGCCTGTATCTTCATATATACACTGTTAAAATTGATTTCTGGCTCAATCACACTGAAGATGTAAAAGCTGATAAAATTTGAATGGTCATGACTCAGTTGCTAATTGAGCTAGCAAGGTAAATTTGACACCATTTTTTATGTTTTACCAAACTCTATATTCCGACATGAAAAGCTTTTTAGATATATTGAAGAAAAATAGTTTGGGATACCTAATAAAATGTACTGAGCTTGTTTTTGACCCTCAAAGATTATAAAATGTAATGAGGAAAACATTCAGCTAATCCCTCTCAATGTGAGGGTAAAATTAACAAAAGTAATTAATTTACCAAAAAACATGCATGCCAGTGTATAATTATAGGTTTTTAATTTACAATTAATATTGGATTTTATGAGGGGTATTAATCAGTTAATCCACTTTCCATAAACTGTTTTACTAATGTTAATTTAGATAAATGTCACCAAATTTTAAATGACTAATTAGAAATAATGAGACAAATAATTTAGCCATTAAATGCTTTTGAGGATAATTGTATCAGATGACTCATTGATTTTTTAAAAAATTTTATTTTTCTGTTTTTTTCCTTTAGCAAATATTTTCATTCCAAGATGATGTGGTTGATTTCTGCTTGGATGAGGGAGAAGATGCTTCCTGGTTGTTATGGGCTGTTAGTCAAAGAGGATGTGTATATCGAATAACTGAAAAAAATTTCACTCCTCAAAGGTGAGTCCTCTTCAACTCTATCTGATTGATAATGATGAGAGGGTGAGGTGGATGGATGTTTATTAAACTGTGTTTATATAAATATATAGCATATATATATATATATATATATATATATATATTATGAAGAACTTATGAAAACTGAATTGGTAAATCCAAGGAGGCTGAAATCCTGAGAGCTCAATGTGAAGAACAGAGCTAATATTTAATAAAAAACAGACCACTTTAAGGTACCATTACAATAATTTATTTCACCAAAATCCTTCTTAAAGGATTTCGGATCATCAGGTAACACTTCCAACAATGAAAAAATCATTTATCATTTATTATATATATATATATATATATATATATATATATATATATATATGCACACACACACATATTTGAATATAGTGAAAGTTTTTTTTTTCTTTTTGTTTTTACACAAAAATAGGAGGTTACACTATATACAGGTTTTTTTTTTTTTTTTTGAACAGGTTAAAATGTTTTCACTGACTGGTTACACTTTACACAGGTAAATTTTTTCTGGAGAGGTTAAAATACATGCAAAAATTTCAAGGGTCACACTATACAAGATGCCAGCTTATACACAAATATATATGGTTACAGTATATATATATAAGGGCCTGCTGAAAATTATTATTTCCAGCCAGTGTCCATTGCCAAAATTCAAGCATGGGTATAACAGTTTGAAATTTATTGGCTCAACCATGAATCCCTACCATGAGTGTTGTGTTGGTTTTTGCAAGTATGTGTTGGTTTTTGCAAGTATGTGTTAGTTTGTGGTATCTTGTCATTATAAAAAACAATTATAAATATTTGAAGCCTTAATCATAAAATGACCAACAGCCTAGCACCAATTATGTTTCAATAAATTTAGGAACAAATATGCTAAATATATTTTACAACTAAAAGAAAAAAAATAACAAGATACCACAGACTGATGTATGAAGTTGGAATATACTTGAGTCCTGGGTATGATGATAAACTACATCTGGCAGCAAGGTCCCTGATCAAGAAATTGGCCATTTTGATGAGTGTGGAAGCACCTCTTAATTGTTGTTGGACTCAAGTCCACTATGACCTGGTGTGGTAACACCTGTTAGCTATGGGCAAATGGTGAACATCCAAACAAAACACAATAAAACTATAAAAATACATTTTTATAGTAAAATTACCACCAATACATCTTTATATATAAAAAAATTTACCAACAATACCTATTTTTAGTAAAATGACCAGCAAGGCATTTTAGTAGAATTACCAACAATACATTTTGTAACAAGATGACCAATACATTTTATCTGTAGTTGAAGCCATAAAATGATGTTCAAAATATTCAAATTTCAGTATTAAATAACCTACAGAGGTTGATTTGCCATGAAACAAATTCAACCAAATGATATACTTGAAAAAAAACAACTCTATACTCGGTGACAATTAAGCACTTGAAAACCGTCAAAGAAAAACAATATATGACTCTGGACACACTTTTAATAAAGCATTAATTGATAATGGCTTATGAATGCTGAAAATATTCAGAAGACCTTAGACACTTCATGTCCAAACTCTGTCTGGAAAGCAGGAAAATGGTCTGAACTAAAAACAGATCTTTACCAAAAATCTTTTACTGGTCTTTAATCATATGTGTGTAAATGCGAAAGTGTTGCCAAAATACATTCAGTATAGATTTAAATTCCATCAAAACTTCATGGTCAGATGCATTATGATGAATGAGTTTATTGATTTGTAAAACTTCCCTTCTGTGTTTTTATAATCCTTTATCTAAATTCTTTGATGTTTCACTTATGTACGTTTTGGACATTTTTTACAGTCACTTTTGTAAATTCCTGCTTAAGGTTTAATATTTTTTATTTTTTTGTGCTAATTGAAATCTGTTATTACTTTTTGAAGTCGTTAGAAATTTTATACAGGTTGAGAATCCTTCATCTGAAATTCTTGGGACCAGAAGTGCTTCATTTTTCCGATTTTTGGGATTTTGGAATAAACGCTATTTAATTTTTTATATAGAATCTATAAAATGTGGCAGCTTGGGAATGGAACCCAAGCATAAGCACTGTATCCCTTTACATTTCATAAGAGCTTAAAGATATACCAGAATGTAGTTTTATATAAATAATATATACAGTGTAACCCGGATATAAGAGAGTTGTCGGGACCGGAGAAGAAGTCTCTTATATCCGGGTTTGGTCTATTTTGTTTAGGGAAGTATGGGCTCTAATTTGTGACCAGATAAAATCTCTCTTATATCCGGGTTTGGTCTATTTTGTTTAGGTAAGTATAGGCTCTAATTTGTGACCAGAGAAAATCTCTCTTATATCCGGGTTTCTCTTATATCCGGGTTTGGTCTATTTTGCTTTATGGGCTCTAATTTTGACCAGATAAAATCTCTTATATCCGGGTTTCTCTTATATCCGGGTCTGGTCTATTTTGTTTAGGTAAGTATGGGCTCTAATTTGGGACCAGATAAAATCTCTCTTATATCCGGGTTTTCTTATATCCGGGTTTGGTCTATTTTGTTTAGGTAAGTATGGGCTCTAATTTGGGACCAGATAAAATCTCTCTTATATCCGGGTTTCTCTTATATCCGGGTTTGGTCTATTTTGTTTAGGTAAGTATGGGCTCTAATTTGGGACCAGAGAAAATCTCTCTTATATCCGGGTTTCTCTTATATCCGGGTTTGGTCTATTTTGTTTAGGTAAGTATGGGCTCTAATTTGGGACCAGATAAAATCTCTCTTATATCCGGTTTTCTCTTATATCCGGGTTTGGTCTATTTTGTTTAGGTAAGTATGGGCTCTAATTTGGGACCAGAGAAAATCTCTTATATCCGGGTTTCTCTTATATCCGGGTTTGGTCTATTTTGTTTAGGTAAGTATGGGCTCTAATTTGGGACCAGAGAAAATCTCACTTATATCCGGGTTACACTGTACTCTGAAAGTAGTTAGAAAATTTAATAAATCTTGTGTACATACAGATACAGGTAATGATGTTCATAAGGATCTTTAAGAGATGAAATTAAGATTTTATGCAAAAATAATGTCTTTTACTTTCTGTACATATTACAAAAAAACATGATCACTACTTATAAAAATATATAAATGTAGGACTTTTTGATATTTTTAATATCTTTACTGAGCATGAAACACTTGGTAAGTAATTTCATCAATGAAGGTGTTGCTGTGACGATCACTAACAAAAAACTGGTGCCAGTGTAGACTTCATAGCTGGGCTGTGGAACCCTCATCCAAGGCAGATGAGGTCACTTACAACAGCTCTACATCATCTAGGTACTTTTCCAGTGCTTTCTGAAATTTGTTGCAAGTCATATCAGCACCTGAAAAACTATTGGATTTTGTGGGTTTTCAGATAAAGAATACTTGACATATATTAAATTTAAAAAAATTCTTTTCAAATTGTAATCATTATGAAGTTGGTAGGTTGTAATATGTGCCATGTGTCCTTGAGGACACATGGCACAGTGGAGTTGATTAGATCCAGTGACAGGACCCAAAGAGTGTGAGTTCAATACCCGGTTAAGGCAGTGGAGAACTTTCAGAGGGAAAATTAACAGGAGATAACTGATAACTGATATCCATTAAACATGGCACATGGAACTAGAACAGTCTATCCTAGTGAGCAAAATAAAGGGTTCAGTTTGACATTCCAACCACCTGAAGAAGGTCGGAGCGTACAATGGCCGAAACGTTGTGATAAATATGGCGACAAAGATGAGGACAATAGTCTGAATAATGTAAATAATGAACATAATACCTCATCTCAGAAATATAGGCAGATATTGCCTGGTTTTGTCTAGGTTAATTGTGTTCTTATTTTTTTTTTTTGCTTTTATGGATTTTATGAGCTTTCAATTTTGCATTGTATATGAAATAATTAGGAGTTTGGAGAACTTTAAAAGTATTTTCACTGTACTTTTCTTCACTATTTACCTTGTTCAGACTGTTGTCCTCATCTTTTGTCATATTCATAACATTTTGGTCATTGTACACTGCAGCCTTCTTCAGGTGATATGTTAGAATTTCAACCAAACCCTTTATTTTGTCCATCTGGCTAGATTGCTCTAGTTCCACGTGCCATACCTTTTTCAACCTATATCAAATAGTCTAAATAGTTACAATACCTCATCTCAGAAATATAGGCAGGTACTTTTCTTCATCTTGTAAATACTGAGAGATATAAATTCTGAGTAGAAACTTATAATTATTTTGGATTTTATTGTTGTTAATGTGGTATGAGTTATAAATTTCTATATTGTTTGTACTGATGAGGTGAATGATCTTGGTATTAATTTGCAATGTGATATGATATTGTGCTCTATCGGGTGATTACCATTCTTATCAGTAGTCATGTGTTTTCTCACATCTGACCTCGATTGCTTGATCATAGCAATCCTCTCAAATTTAGGTTAGTTGGGTTACTATTCTGTGACTGCTAACCATACCGACATCATCCTCCTAGTACCTTACCATCACAGTTAAAAGCATATGGAAATGTTGAATAATAAAGAAATGGAAACAATGGAGAGAAATGCCAAAGTATGGTAAAAAGGATATAGTACTTTGAACAAAGAAATTTGGAATAAATGCAAGCATGCAAAAGAGGAATGGCTCAATGCAAAATATGCAGAAATAGAAAGAATGAGTATTCCAGATAAAGCAGATATACATAAAGTAATGGGCATGTGACTGAGTGAGCAGAACATTTGCTTTCCGACCATGAGACCCCAGTTTGAATCTCATCGTGGTTGATTTATCAGGAAGGTGACTTTTTCATGCTAATCGGACAAAAGGACAAAATTTATTAAGATGGAAAAGGCATATCAGTGACACCATTTGGTTTCAGTGAGAAAAAAGAAAGAAAGGGAAGATAGAGTAGGGGATAATGCTTTCATGCATTTAAAGTATGCTTCATCAAAATGGAAAACTATTCAAATCTTTTCATTTCTAACCTCTTCTTTAAATAATGACCTGTATTCATATTTATAATCGAAAGACATCTGAGATGCTGTTTGGTTTCAGTGAGAAAAAAAAGAAAGTGGGAGGAAAAATAATGCTCTCATACATTTAATGTCTGCTCCATTGAAACAGAAAAACTTGTCAATTGCATTTTTTAATTTATTTGTATCCTCTTACTTCTTAAAATAATGAGCTGTATTCCTATTTATAAGTGTTATTGCGTTAAACTCGAATATTTAACAATGCAATAGAATAAGGGAATTTCCAAGGGTATTTTGTAGTCCTGGACCTTGTAAGAAGTTTATTTATTCATTAAGTATTATAATACACCAGAAATTAAAATGGAAAAGCCAAGAAATTTTCATTGGTACTACTAGTATTGGTTATTATAAGCGAAAAATATGCAAATTAATATGCAGTAATTTATCAGCCAAGTTCAGTATTGTGAAAAGCTCTATAACATCTGAAAACCATTATACATGAGTTAAATTCTGTGAATTTATACCAGCATGTTTATTTTCTATTTTAAAGGGCCTCTGAAGCTTGTGCCAGTAACTCCCAGGTAAACAATGCCATCTTTGAGGAATTTTTCCAAGACATCCCTGATACGTCTTTTTCTTCTAACACTGAGTCATCAAGCCACATCTCAACAAAAGATGCCATTTTTGAAGTGGGTCTCAAAGGTGCTGCAATCTGTGCACACACAGATATTCTTGCCATTGCTACAAGCGCAAAGAAATCTGGCATCTTACAAATTTATGCCAAAAAGGACCTTGCCACCAATGCTGGTCCGAAAGAACCTTGCTTTTCAACAGACTTTTGTTTACCAAATCCAGATTTCTGTGACATTTCCTTGTACATTGTTGCATCTTCAGCAAATGCCTGTTTTTCAGGCTCAGGGAACCTCTGTCTTGAGCCTTTGGTTTTTAACAGCATCTTTGGTACCCAAACAAGCATACTGGACTCTGCTATTATCCTAATGACACTTTCAGATGGACATGTCTATTACCTACCTCTAAAAAGGTGGTTGCCTTTGTCTTGTCCTAGCAACTACTTATCCATACTCTGTGATTTAAATTCCCCTATTGTCCAAATCTTTGTTCTTGAGGTCAAAAGCCTTGGGGCTGAAGATCCAACTGACCAGCTGAGTGTGTCACAATTGCTCACTAGTTTCAGGGAATCAGTGTCCACATTCCCTGGTCTTTTGGTGTGTTCTTTGAGTGGTCAGTGCTGCTTGTTTTCTGCACCAACCAATTTTAAAACCAACTTCCAAGTGATGCAGAAGACAGTCCTCAAAGATGGGCCAACCAAGGCCTGTTGTGTTGGAGATGGTGTTTCACAGTTCTTTTATGCAACCCGCAAAAACATTATAAAAGTGGAAGTCAGTTATGGCGATAGACTGGAAGTCTCTGAGCAGGTATGCAGGAAGCTTGCAAGAATCAAAAACATGGCCTCAGTTGCTATAGAAGGTATTTTTTATTTTCTCTTATTTTTATTTGATGTCAACATATACATCATATGCAGTTTGTGTAATGGATATTAGTGTGGAAAGTGGGAATTGGTAAACTGAATTTATTAGGTTGGTGCAAAAATAATGTCGTTATTTTTGCACCAACCTAATAAATTCCTGGTTGATATATATATATATATATATATATATATATGTGTGTGTGTGTGTATGTATAGTCATCCGCAGACAGACTGTTTTTGTGTATCACAGCTCTTCAGTTTGGCTATTGCTTCAAACCGGGATCAAAACCTGACTGATTTGACATCAGTCGGGTTTCTTACCTCTAGGCCACCGTCACATGGCAGAGAAGGAAGGGAATTTTCATGTTTTTCTCTATATGAAATAAAAGCAGTGGCTCATAGAACTCAATTCAATTTTACTTGACGAATAATATATATACAGTACAGTTCAAAAGTTTGCGATCACTCTTGGTAATTTTTTAAATTGATCCCAAAAGTAGTTGTTTTGCACTCTAAATAAGACAAACTTATTATACAGGGTTAAAAAAAATTGAGACATGATTGTTTATTAGAAATTTTATTATGACAAATAGAAGCATTTTATGATTAAATTTTGTTCTCATCAAAATATCCTCCTTTACCCTTGATTACTGCAGCACATATTTTTGGGATTTGTTGCAAAAGTTTCTCAAAGTGTAAGTTTGATAATTGATTCCATTCTTTTTTCAATGACTCTAAGATTACTTTTTCATTTTTTTTTTCATTCTTCTGTCGAGTTCATCCCATGTTAATTCTGGCTTCAAACTATTGAACTGTAGTATATATATATATATATATATATATATATATATATATATCTTGTAAAAGAAGTTGAAAATGTAACTGGAATCTTTAAGAATTTAAAGTAACTTTACCAGTTTTCAAAAGATAAAGAGTTTCTCCATTTCAATTTAACTTTTGAAAATCATAGGACTAGGAAACCAGTAAAGTTAATGTAAATAAATATTTTTAAACTCTAGATGCTTTTTCAACTTCTTTTTCCTATAAATTTTTAACCATGTGGGATATGTTAAAAAAAAAATTATTTTCATATATATATATATATATATATATATATATATATATATATATATATATATATATATATATATATATATATATGTGTGTGATCCACATACAAGCCTGTTTCACTATATCACAGCTCATCAGTTTGGCTACACATCTGATTGCTTCAAGCAGAGAAAGGGAAATTATAATGTATTATATACGAGATGTATACAAACGCAGAGTAGCCAAGAGGGATTAATTCGTAATTGAAGATCGATGTGTTAACAGCAACAGCAGCCACTGTTTTTAAAACTACCCTTTCTCTAGAGTGCTCAATCAAGTAACAAGATTTCAAAAGAAGTAATAAATACATATATGCAAAGGGGGATGTAGGTTCGGAATCTGCTGGCAAACACATTTAATGAACTGTTTACCCAAATACAGGTATCCACTAAAAATAACATTTGAATTAATAAAATGTGTGTGTGTATATATATATATATATATATATATATATATATATATATATATATATATATATATATATATATGTATAAATACTACCTGTCAAAAACTTAAAGCCTTAGACAAGAAAAAAACAAAACAAATGTCAAACACCCACCTAAACAGTAAATTAAAATTTTTTAATTAAGCCTGTGCTATCCAGACGGAAAAAAATGCTTCACGTCAACCGTCAACAGCTTGAGTCATTACTTCAGTTTCATACTTTAGAGATTTTCAGATGACTAGAAGGTAGATGAAAGAAGGAGTGACCTATCATTTATACTCAGTTACTGCCCTAAACTATTGCATCACAATGGGAAAAGTAAGGAAAAACCCATGTATATCAATTGTCCTTTCAGGGGAAAAAAAAGAATAAACAAAGAAAAAAACCCATAGATGAGCCTAGCCTAGCTTCACAAACTGAAAAAAAAGGGAGGGGTGGACACTAGTCAGGTGGCAGGTAGCATAATAAGTGTTTTATACTATGCTGACACTGACTGATTAATTCTGACTTTTATTCAACACTCTAGTATTAATATAGCAAACTTTTACTCTAGATTCGCTAAAAAAATGATTATACCATGATGAAAAAAAATGCCCCAGACTTAATAAAAACAGTTTTATCATTAAAATCTTTGTTATTATTAAAAGGAAAGATCAAAGGACTTTTCAATTATTAAATTATGTTTTTTGATCCTCTTTAGAACATTTGAAATTTTGGTTAAAAATTTTGTTTTTCTTACATCAGCAGATGACCATAAATTAGTATAGGAAATGTTAAGATCTTTTCACATTAAAAAAGAAACTGATTTAGAAATTCTTGCAAAATCAAATAATTGTCAAATTTTAATGTAAGTTTTAGTACTTATGAATTATTTTAAAAATGTTTCTTTATCAGAAAATCTTGGTAAAAAGATTAGTGCCACTTATTTAATTTAATGAAATTTCAAGAAATTCATTTTTGTAGATCTTAATGTTTATATTAGTTATAAACAGAAGTCCTTGGAGAATTTAAGTTGTCAATTTTTTTTGTTACTGAAAATCTGCTCTGAATCATAAATTAAAAAATGCAATAAATTATTTAATTTGAAAAGCTTTTAATTGCTTTTATTAATAAGATATATTATAGACACTTGTCTGAAGAAAAATAATTTTTTTTGATGACTAATGAATTTTTACAAGAATTGTTTTCATTTATTATTAAATTTTAATTAGAATAATTTATAGTTTTAAATCTTTTAAAATTCTGTATTAATTTGCACAAGTTAGGTCATATTGTTTTTAAATAACAATTCTATTTACTAATCATAAATGGGGAAGGCTTACTACAATTCAGTGAACCTCAGTATCTTAAAAAGAATTTTGAATTTTTCTTGTGGATGTATAAATGTGCTGATTTTTGTAAATATGGATGTCCATACATGACATTAAGAGAAAATAAGGGTGCTAACAGTAGTAAATTTAAAGCCAAAGTACCTAAATTTCAATAAAACATTAGAGAATATTTTCCTAAATTTTTAAGATTACTGGGCTGGGTAGTTAAAAATTATATAAAAATGGTGTGCACATTAATCATCAGATAAATTTCCAGTATAGAGAAATTTCTGGTTATCAATAAAGCTTTCAGTTTTGAAGGAGCAAGACTCTAAATTGAAGCGCTGATAACTTATGAACGGAAAGATGAGACTCATTTGATAATGATGGAACTTGTCTGATTCATCCCAGGCAACTCCGGACAAGAAATATAAGAACATGTATTTCTGTTCGATAACCCCAAATTGAAGGCGATAACTCATGTTATTTATCACAGAAGACGCAAAGGAATTTGTATGCTGAGAATACAGCCTGCGTTTGAAGAATAGAGAAAACCAGAGAGGAAGAAAGTATATATCTCTGTTACAAGCTGAATTGTGTAAAGAAGAAGAAAGAAAGAAAAAAGAAAACCAGAGAGAGGAAGAAAGTGTATATCTCTGTTACAGCCAGACAGTGTGTGAAATCGTATTTGTGTCAAGAAAAGGAAGGAAAGAAAAGAGGAAACGTGAGAGAGAAAAGAAAGAACAATGATAAAAAAAGAGAACTGAATATAAAGTAATTATATATTTTGGACCCGTGTTAGAAAGATACACATGCATCCATAAATATTATGTTCTTACAAACACCTTTCCACATGTCAAAATAATAATATGTAACTCCTATCCCATCTCTTTTGGTTATGCGTTGATTTCTGCATTCGTAGTTATTCATACTTATATTGTTATCCGTTCGGGTTCAGTCGAATCCATTTGGGGTTAGGCATATTTTGATATCCCAACATAAGTCTTGAGATCTGGTCGTCGGATGTTTTACTTATGCTTATATTTTCTTTTATTTTAATATTTTGTATATCTGTACATATTAAAGTTCTTATATCAAAATTCACTATGCCTTATCGCTCATCCTTGAATTGTGGATCAGCATTCGTGTTGAAACCGGTTTAACCTGGGAAAAGATTACTGTTCGATTATCCTAATCGAACAGTGTTCTTTAAAATATTTTTTTGTTTACTAATTGTCCATTGTCATGATCTGAGAGAGATAGCCTGTATGATCGCCTTATAAACCCATTTGTCGACTAGGGCATATGACAATAAATATATATATATTAAAATTATGAGAAAGGACAGTAAGATTTGTAATCTGGTGTTCTTATTAATTATTTTTATTTTTAAAAAATGGTGCTCAATACAATTCTGCAGAGCATAAATATAAATTTACCAATTTAAAAATATGGTCCCATAGATACACAGTAATTATCATGTTTCAAAAACAACCTAAAAACTTTAAATTTAATTATTGAATTAAATTATCAAGATATGTATGTGCTTAAAATATCAAGAATGTATGTGTGTATAAACTCAGTAAATTTCAAAATAAGTTATTCCAAAAATCACTTGAAAATGAAACAGTACTATCCTTAGTACTGTTTATATGCACATACATTCTTGATATTAGTTGCTAAGGTTACAGGGGAATTCAGTCATTGGGCTGAATGTAGGGTATTCATTTTCACTGAAAACCTGTGTATCAAAATGTGAGGTACTTTCCAAATGAGGTTAAGTTAAGATAGGGTAGGAGTGCCTGTTCAACAAATAATGATATCCATTTTCCATATGTTTTTTTTTTTTTTTTCAATGACAAACTTTTCCAGCATTTTTATTTTGCTGTCAAATTTGTAATTGTATATACAAAAATTTTTTCAAAAGGTTTATTTGAATATGAGTACATTGTATTAAAATACAATTTTAAATAATTATTCCTAATTCTAATTACTAATACACTATATTTCTTTTAAAACACATTATTTATGTTTTAAATTATAAAGTGGACATTGAGTGAGGTCAACACCCAGCTGTGGCAGTCTGATTCATGCTTAAATAATCTGAAGATTGTGTGCTTAAGCATGAAACAGACTGTTGGTGCTGGGTTTTGACTGCAGTGTCTGCTTTATATTTACATATGCTCTATCCCTGATATTGAGCAAAACTATACTTTATATATGTGTGTGTGTGTGTGTGGGATTAATAGAAATATAAAATTTATCACTTAGAAGATTGAAAAGAATTTATCTAAGCTTAGAAAATTTCTAAATGATAAAAGACTTAATTAATACAAAACAAAATAATAATAAGCTAAAAACTTTAAGAAGGAATTTACTCTAATAATTGCCACAAGAAATACATAGAAGAAACCACAAAACTTGTTACAGCGACTTCTAAAACAATGAGAGACTTAATACAAAACAAAGTAATAACAAGCCAAAACTTGAAGGAGGAATTTACTCTATCACCTGTAATAAATACCACAAAAAATACATCGCCTCTAATGATAGGCCAAAAGAATATTGCTTTTCAACAGATCTTTGTCCAGATTTCTGTGACATTTCCTTATACATTGTTGCATCTTCAGCATATGCCTGTTTTTCAAGCTCCAGGAACCTTTTGTCTTCAGTTTTGGGTTTTTAACAGCATTTTTGGCATCCAAACAAGCATCCTAGATTCTGCTGTTATCTTAATTGTGAATTCAGATTGACATCTATTACTTACCTCTAAAAAGTTGATTGCCTTTGTCTTGTCCTAGCAACAGCTACTTGTCCATACTCTGTAATTTAAATTCCTCTATTACCAAAATCTTTGTTCTTGAGGTTGATGATCCAACCAGTTAAGTGTGTCACAATTGCTTGCCAGTTTCAGGGAATCACTGTCCACATTACCTTGTCTTTTGGTGGGTGCTTTGAGTGGCCAATGCTGTTTGTGTCACATTAAAAATTTTTCCACTTTGTCATAGATACTTTTTGTCATGTTTTTTTAAATTTTTTGTGGGTCTGACATCAATTGTGGAAATTCAGGAGAAATAGCTTTGAATGTTACTCAAATTCATATATCATAACATAGTTTTAAAACACTTTGAGGATGTTATAACAAACAAATAGAACAATGCAAAGATGTCATCTATAAACTTAAGGGTTTCATCTTAAAAGGCTGACACCTTTAGGCTTTTGTCCTGTGGGACCGTCTTTAATCTAGAATTTAACAATAGCCTAGTGGATTTCAGTATTGGTTTGTGAATTTAATCTTTTTTTTTTTTTTTTTTTTTTTTAAGCATTTCACCCTAAGCAAGGTGGGAGCACCATTAGCATGTAAGGCATTACAGAGAATGAAAGTAAGAGTAGTGTTTGAAGAAAGGATAAAGATCAAGCCATCAGAAGATGTTGAGTGACATTACATTTAAATTTTTGAAGATTATAGTTGTAAACAGAGAGAGGTTGATGCACATGAATGCACACACGCAAATATAACGTTTATTGATTGAAGATGGAAAACACGATCTTCCGTGAAAGTTACAAACTGTGTCAGCACTATTAATAGGAAAGAATCTAGAACAATGATATATGAAACCTGAGATGGCTAATGGATAAAGTATAAATTTCAAATTGGGTTGGCGAGGACTTGTTGATAAACAAATGCAAAAGGGCAGGAGGCGATGTTTAATTTGGGTCATTAAAAGAAAAAAAAATAGACAAAAATAATATTTTTGATAAAAATGTTGAAGTAAATTAGACCGGGGAGGTAAGATCAGTGTATATTTACCGCTAGTGAAATCTGATCTAAACATAAGTTGTATCCGCTGAATTTGGTCATCGAAAAGACAATTGAAATGATCATTGAACTAATTAATTTTATCCACTAAGAGATTTGAAATATATCTGAATTTAAACTTTGCTTATGGCAACACTCGTGTTAAGCACACGAACAACCTGGCTTATAACCTTCGGTTTGCTATATAAACGCGAGTTTTGCTGAGTTGGGGAGACTTGGGCGTTAGACGAGAGTGAAGTTGAGAGAGAGAGACTGTCGTTGCAGTGAGTTGGTCCAGTGGCGAGTCAGAGATAAGGACTTCAAGAAATATCGTTGTTGTAGCAGTCGCATTGAAAAGTCGCTGAAACTTAACGTTTGTCACTTACGACAACCAACTGAAAAGCTACACTTCCATGTAGGGCTGGAATTACGAGTCACATATCCTCCCAAGTTGATTTGGAACGAGTTAATCACACGCACACCTCTCTGTTGGTATAATTGGTAGAGGAGTGGTCCTCTGTTCTTATGTTAATTGCTTTTCTATCTTTTCTGTAAACTCTTTCTACTGTTGTTGTTTTCTTATATAAAAGACATCAATATTTTACTCTAATTCTAATTTTCCTGCTGCCCACCCTCACAGCCGTGCCTACATCCCCAAACGACCGTGAACGTATGGACAGCACCCCACTTACTGGATCTAAAAACTAACACAACGTGGGCAGCAGGCTGAACTTGGCTAGTGACCGGTTGAACAATCTACGGGTACTCAGGGAGTGTGCGGCCAGCTACCCCTGAGTTCAGTTCAGACCGAGTGGGCGCCTCAACCCAAAGAGGAAGATGCCAGAGGTTGAGGGGCTGAAGGGACGAGTGGTAGATAGTTATCAGGGAAGCAAGTAAGAGGAAGGGAGTTCTACAGTCAGAAAGTATGAGAGAAGAAGCTGTTGGAGTAGAAATGGTGGTTACATTTAATAGTAATTGTATATTCAATCCCTGGGTTAGTTGTTACATATTAAGACTCAGTGGAAATAGAGCAAGTAATAACTAAATAAGAAAGCAATCTATCCCTAGACATGAAAACAAATACTCCTATATATTAAACAAAATATTTTTCATTTAACACATTTTTTATATATAATTTTGTCTTTTTTTTTTTTTTTACTATTTCAGATGAAACTTTTCTGTTGTGTCAATCAGAAAATGGGCGATTTTATTCCCTTCCCAAGTCAAATGATGGATTTGGTACCAATGAGCCAGTTGTCTCTCCAAAGAACACAATTCCAGATCTTCTGGCCAAAGTGGATAACATCACTAGAAAAATGGACCAGATCAACCCTAACATTAAATGTCAGTCAAATATTCTGTCACAGTTGGCTCTAGCCAGCCATCTTTACTTAAATACTCCTGCTTCCGTGAATGTCAACCAACATCTGCAAAGTTCTGTCACTGTTAAGTGCATTAATGGATTCACTACCCTCTGTTTTCAGGTGACAAGCTCCAAGATTGTTCTTTCTTCTGATTGGTCATTGCTTGTTGAAACTTGCCAAATTTCCCCTGCAAGTGAAGAAATGAAGCATCAAGCTAATTTTAAGTCTGTACACCTTAAACAAGGGCTTCAGCCTGGAGAAACTCTCAAGGTATCCATAGTCCCAAAGCTCATAATTCCATCTGACACAAGAATGTCAGTTAGAGCTTGGCTTGTTTTGAATTTACATCTTGGCTTGTATTCTTCTACATTTCATAGTGAGCAATTCAAAGCTCTTGAAGATCAAGGACTTATGATTTGTGTCTTTGAAAACCAAACTGATATCCTTGACTTTCTGATTTGTAAAGACTCACTGAAGGGGGAAGTTGGTTTGTGCCCAGAAAACAAACACTTCCCTCCACTGTCTTCAGTTATTGATACTATAGCCCGAAAGAGGCCAGTGTATTCGGCATTTGAAGATACACCGATGCTTGTCACAGGAAATTTGCAGGAAAAGCATATGTACAAAATTTTGATTCCAGATTATTTATCGGCAATTCTCTTTGATCATACATGTCACGGTAAGACAGATATTTTTAATAGCTTATTGTCTGTGTTTATACTTTGTCTTCTCAAGACAACCAAAACATTGGTGTCAATTTTTTACTGTGGATTTATTAAATATTATTCTGCTAATTTAACTTTTTTTTTTATCCGAGAGTAAATGGTGTTACAGCAGGAGTTTATGGTCTGCCTTGTGGCTGAGACAGTAACATGTTTTCTGGTGTCAAAGGTCAGTGTTCAAGCCTTGGTATAAAATAGAATAAAATGATAATAGTGAAACGGTTGCATCTAAAAAGCAAAAATAATCAGATATAACACAACTAGTAGTAAAATAACAATAGTGAAAATGCTTCCTCTAAAAAGCAGTAATAAGATAGCATAAAACTAGTAATAAAATAATAATAGTGAAAAAGCTTCACCTGAAAATCAGTAATAAGATGGATTAGTAGAAATAAAATAGTAATATTTTGGTTAAAAAAGCAACAATATTAAAATGAAATAAATGTAATAATAATAGTGAAATGCTTCACCAAAAAATCAAGAATAAAATGGTGTACAACTAGTAATCAAACCATATAATAATTATCACTGTGTATTTACTTATCTATTTCCTCTCCCAGCTCTAGTGAGAAGGGAGGTAAATCAATGTAAGTTAATGAGTGATTATTTATTTTAATAATCTATACAAATAAAATATCTGCATTTAGACAAAATTAGTTCCTGGACAAAATGAACTGTTTAATTAATCACTTCATTGATTCCAACATTGTTCAGATTGCAGTCTTATCTGTTCAAGCCTTTTATGTGAGGCACTCATATACCTTTTGTCTATTAAGTGGTTGTCTTGCTTCAACTTGGTCTTGAAATAGGCTTTGTCATCACTGTCTTTGTTGTTCTGTTGCTAATCTTTTTCTTCTGAGATATAATTCCATTACATTATTATATTAAACACATAAATTTTTTATATGAAAAAGATATTGAGCAAAAAGTGATTTATATAATACTAAGAGTAATCAAGGAACCATAGATTCCACTGAACATCGAGAAAATATAAAGGGAACAGATTAATTAAATGGTTCATTGGCCTCTATCTTAGTTGTGAATTATTTCTCCACTTTATTTAATCTCAATACATTGTTTTAAGACTTTTGTTTTATTATATTTCACTATTAAAACTTCTAAGAATTGCCATCATTTTTAACAGCATGGGTACACAAGTAAAAACTAATAATTCTAGTTTACAACAAAAATTTTTAGCAATGAATGATAATGCTTTTAAGGCAAATAGTTTTATAAGTGTCGGTATTCATAAACAATATTAATAATGGATAAATAAGATAAAAAATGATAAGTATTAAATAAGATAAAAAATGATAAGTATTAAATAAAATATTAAGCTGTATATATCTCCAGTTATGATGAGAATGAATAGAGTACACTTCCATTTAATTTAAAGGAGGGATCAATACATAGTAGAGCAATATTATTATTATATTTCCCTAAAAGTAATCCTCTTAGCAAAATATTTAACAGAAACACATTAAAACTAAATTATAGCAGCACCAATAATCTTGAGAAGATTATAAAGTTAGACAATAATAAAAGTTTAAACCAATTTAATAATCTAAATCATAATGCACATTCAAAGAAACATATCATTAATGATATTAGTCAATGTAATTGTAGGAATTCAGACCAATGCCTAAATACTTAAATACTATCTCTACAATAGAGAGTCCGACAGTTGAAGAATTCTATATTGGTAGTACTAAGAATACTTTTAAGACTAGGTGGTATCAACATATCTTGTCCTTCACCAATAATACTTATAGAAAAAATGCATCACTTTCTAAATATTTTTGGAGTTTAAAAGATGATAATAAAACTCCTAATGTGAAATGGAAAATTTTAAAGATGGCAAGGACATGTAGATTCTTATATGAACCCTGTTTTCTTTGTTTACATGTAAAATTGGAAATAATCATGTTCTTTGACAAGAATACTTTATTAAATCAAAGATCTGAATTAATGGTAAATTGTAAACACAGTTTACCTTTTACCTTATAATTCAGTTAAACTTTGGAATTTGACAACGTTTATTCTTATATTTTAGTTGAACTGTGTTGCACTATATATGTCTTATTGTTCTATTTGTATGATTAATTTGGGTTTAATTTAGTTCTGTATTGATCTCCTGGTAGTATTATTAACATCTTATATGAATGTATTGATATTTAGTTAATATTTTTTACATTTTACATTGATTGGTTTAATATTAACATCTTATATGGATGATATTTATTTAATGGTTGCATATTATTTACTCCTGAATTTGTTGGTGAAATCCAAGCCATGATTGACAACAGTTCCTCTATGTCAATTAGGTTCATAGCCAGGGTCACAGGAATATCTGAGTTTCTTATCAGGCAGGTAGTGCATGAAGATATTTGGTATTTCTCATGCAAGATGAGAAAGGGACAATTATTATCCCAAGCTATGAAGGACAAGAGTAAAGACTGTGCTATAAAAATTTTGAAGAAATTCAAGCATCCCCTCCAAATTAGACGAGAAAAATTTCTGCCAGGATAAGATGGTGAACACACAAAACAACTGTTGGCTTGCTGTGTCCCCCAAAAATGTACTGAGAGTGATGAAAACCAAATATCTTGTCAACATCCTGGTGTTTGGATGGCAACAATGCCTCCATTCATCTTCCCACAAAGCCTCAGACTCAACACGGAGACTTATATCAAGTGCCCTGATGAGGTAGTACTACCCTGGGTGAAGAGGGTGGCTGCTGGAAGGCTCTGTCTAGCAACAGGACTCTTCACCATGCCACACAAGCAGGAGAACCGAGTCATAGATGGCAGATAATTTCTGCAACCACATCACCCCTTACATCTGGCCATCTAACTTCCCAACTGCAACCCCCTTGATTATTATTGTGGGGTGCATTTGAGTGAGAATTCAACAAAACTCTTTGTAACACCAATGAACTGAAGGGAAGGATTATGGCAGCATTCACCAGCTTAAACCAGGAGAGTTTCAAGAGATTCTGAAGTTTCGTCTGGAGGCTGTAGGGTGATTTTATTGAATAAATTTACTCTTTAGTATTTCAAGATATTTTTGTGCAATTTTGGTAAATATATCTGTTAAAATGAGATGTGAATTTTATTTTCACTTTTGCATAATTTAGACGACAATTTATCCAGCGCATCCTTTACATGAATTTTGTTTGAGTCCAAATTTTTAGTGGGTACACATATTTGAGGTGACAACCCTGTTATTTTAAACAGTGAAATTAATGTTAACTGGTCTAGAGATCAAGAAGTCATACTATAGAAAATGTTTCCTGACAAGAATTGAACCTGCATTCTCCTTTTCCATCAGTGAATCCACATCTTGTGCTGAAGTGTGATCATGTGGACATTTCTTGTTGAAACCTTTCATAATCTGTATCTACTCACTTTATTTTTATACCCAAAAGTTGGTAATTGAACCTTGCTTTATCATGATATTCTTCTATAGTCTAACTGATAGGATACACTTCAGCTCAAGGAGTGGTTGCCCTGATAGACAAACAAAATACATGCTCAATTCCTTTAGGGAAGCACATTTTCTTAAGTACGACTTCCTTATCTCTATTACAGTTGACATTAATTTCATTGTTTAAAATAACAAGGATGTCTACTCAAAAACGTGCTGACACTATATATATATATATATATATATATATATATATATATATATATATATGTACATCTATCATTGAGACCTTTTGAAGTCTGCATGTGCAGGCTTGGTTTTGATATCAAAAATGTAAACAAGGCAATTTTAACAGTTAATTATTTCTGATTAATATATATATATATATATATATATTAGAAAGAAAATATATATATATATATATATATATATATTAATCAGAAATAATTAACTGCTTAAAATTGCCTTGTTTACATTATATATATATATATATATATATATATTAATCAGAAATAATTAACTGCTTAAAAATTGCCTTGTTTACATTATATATATATATATATATATATATATATTAATCAGAAATAATTAACTGCTTAAAAATTGCCTTGTTTACATTTTGGATATCAAAACCAAGCCTGCACATGCAGACTTCAAAAGGTCTCAATGATAGATGTACATTTCTTAAAAGGGTAAACTTTTTTTTATCATGATAGTTTCACATAGCTTGATTGGTAGAGCACACTTTGGTTAAAAGGATCTTGATTTCTAGGCTGGTTGACATTAATTTCACTGTTTAAAATAATAAGGATGCCAACTCAATCTGGGGTACCCACTAAAAATAGTGTTTATAGTAATAAGAAATAATCATGGATTAAAAAAATCCATTAATCATTCAAAAGTTATTTTTTATGTTTCATGTGTGTAAATTAAGCTAGCAGATACAGATTTTGTTAGGTCCCAACAGGAGATATGTATTTCTTAAGTAGATAATAGAACCTTGCTTTGTCATAACAGTTTCCTGTGGTTTGATTACTAGAACACACTTTGGCTTAAAAGTGGTTTCCCAGATGGAAAAAGAGAATACAATAACATTTATAGTAATCTATCTAAAAACAGCAAATTCTGTCTGTCCATCTGTGTGTCTGAAACCCCTCAAGCTTGGGCCACACATGCTCTACTTTTTGGGAATCAGGATCATCTCGGGATTGAAAATCTGCCCTTCATTTGATTCTTGAACATCTGGCTTTGAGATCTGTGTCTGTATGAGGAGGGAACAGTTAAAAATTCAAATTTTAAAATAACTGAAAAAAAAATTAGTGATTTTAAAAGTTTTTTAATTTATATCGAGTTTAAAGTAACACAAAATCTTTGAATTTCAAAATTTTTGTTTTAAATTAAATTTAAAATATCTTCAAAACTTTGAATTGAGGAAATCAATTTAATTTCTTCAAAATGTCAAAGTTAAAGTGAAAGGTTTTATGACATGAGGTTTTGAAGTTGCACAGAGTTTGTAATTTCAAGAAATCATTTTTCAGCCTGAATTGGAATTTTGGCCCAAATTGGAGTTTGGACCTAAACTGGATTTTTGGTCAGAATTATAGCCTGAATCAAAGGTAAAGTGAGGTTTTGATGTCCCATAGAGTGAACTGAGGAATTCAAAGTTATATCTTCAAAATTATCATTGCTGTTTTCTAAGTGGGACAGAGGTTTCTTAGTTTTTGGCTGGAAACCCAATTAGCTAGCCACAGGACTTAGTTTGCAAATTTGCATGGAGTGTGGTTTTTAATCTAGTAAGAATATATCACAAAGTTTAACCTTCATGCTTGCAAAAAATGGTGTTTGAAAAGGACAGATTTTCTGTTAACATTATTATTTTAACGACCAAAATTCCTTTGGCAATGTTTATTTACAAGATTATAAAAGTATGAGAACCAAGTACAATGTGATATTTATTATTTATCTTTTATAAATAAATTCTGAAAATGAGTTTTTTTTATTCATAATTTTGTCAAAAATTAAGTAAATTTAAATAAACATAATATTTCTGGACATTTATACATTTTCTTCTTAAATTATTTTATATCTCTTTTATATCTAAGATTACTTTTTGATTTTAATTTTCCAATCTATTTTTTTAAAATCATGATCTAAGATCAAGGATGCTTGATCTACTGAAAAAAAAGAAAGAAAAGAAGTCAGTCCATGCAGTGGATTGGTTGTTACAAATATCTAATCGGTTGTGCGGAAAACATGGTCTTTTTTCATCTAATTCATTAAAAAGGCCAGAGTATCTGCTAGCGTTTGATTGCGAGGGAGAATCAGGGATTGATCTCTTCTGATTGGGTTGACTTGGTGATGGGGTGTATGATGCTGAAAGACCCGAAACTCCCTGATGAACCAAGTCAATTTACATCACTAACGACTCCCTCTGGCGTCTACTTAAGAGCGTATATTTGAATTAATCACAGGCAATTACTATTGTCATTGGTGCATCTTACTTTTGACCTTGTCTCATATTAAGCAAAGCTTTCTATGCTTTGAGTGTCGTTGATTCTTTTTCTCTTTGACAGATGTTACACACAGGTCCTGTCTTTTAAAATACTTGTTATGCGAAATGAAGATTTCTGGTGGCCAAGAAATCTCTGGGACATCTGTGATTCTTGATACAACTGACTGGGGAGAAGTAACAATAGGAATCCAAAAAAGCAGTAATGAAACCAAGCAGTACTTCATGGAAATTCACACCGGAAATACTGGCTCTCTGGTTGAAATGGTACTTGGAGTGATGAAGCGTATCAAGGTATGAGTATAGTCATAATTCTTTGCTTTATTTACGTAAAGGAAATAAGTTAAAAAAAAAAAAAGAGAGGGTCAAGATTTTCTTATTTCAAGAGCCTTTTTATTGAACAAAGAACAAGTTTTCCTTATTTTTTTTTTTTTTTTTTTTTTTAACAAGGGACAAGGTTTTTTTTGGTTTTTTTTATTTCAGCTTGTCTCACCATTTATCAGTGCTGTAGAACTGAACCAGATCAACACATAAAAAAGACCTCAACTGGTGTTTGGTGTAGCCAAAAGTTGTGTTCTGGATAATTGGTTATTTTAAAAAGGTGCTCTCTCAAAATAGGGTTGAGAAACTAAAGTTGCATGGCAGATGCTGTTCTAATTTAGATGAGAATAGTGATGCTTTGTCATCAGTGAATCACACTTGATCTGTGACTCTGGCTACAGATATATAGGACCAATGTTTTTTAGCAACCAAGATGGCTCGGTTGGTGTTGTTTTTTCAAAGAGCACTATTCTGAATTGTGATGGTTTGTTTTGTTACATCTTGGATTTGAGATTTTTTCTTTTGCTACACTTTGGATTTGCAACTGTTCATTTTGCTACACTTCATATTTGTAGCTGCTTTGCCACACACGGGATTTGTGACTGCTTTGCCACACACAGGAACTGTGACTGTTCATTTTGTTACACCTCGGATTTGGGACTTTCTTTTGCCACGCCTCAGTTTTGCTACACTTTGGATTAGCAACTGTTCATTTTGTTGCATCTTCAATTTGCAACTTGTCTGTTTTTCTGCAATTGCCTGAAAAGGCAAACAAGAAAACCTTATCATGAATGCTTACTGATGACTTTATATATACTCTACCTGGCCAAAAGCACATCATAAATGTAAACACGCCTTAAGTTGTTTATGTGTACCTTCTTTAAATCGTGATTGAATATGAGAAATATGTCCTTTTGATTAAATCATATTGCCAAATATATTCATCCGAATACTCAGGATTGATACACTATATATTATTATTATTTTATTACTAGCTTTATACCATTTTATTACCTCTTCTATGTGTCATGTCCCTTCAGGACATTGGTGATTATGGCTCTCCACAATTTCCTGTCCTTTGTAGCTCTTAATAAATTTTGTCTTTTTGCTATCTCCTCCATAACCTGCTCCACCATCCATTCACTCAAGCTCACCAGATAGGTTGTGAGTTTCTTTCCTCTATCTCTCTTGCCTTTAATCTATCCTGTGAATATCAGATTTTCCAAGCTCTACTTCCTCATTATGAGTCCCAGAACCCTCAACTGTCTCTTCCTGATGTTAAGTATAAGTGTCTTTTTTCTTGTCATTGTCTCGAGAATATTGTCATTGATCACATGTTCTATCCATGGTATTCTCAGCATCCTTCTGTAGACCCACATTTCTGCTGCTTCAAGTCACTACTTCATCTATGAGGAGGATTGTTCAGCATTCACTGCCACAATAGGAGAACTACTATTACATAATAGTTCAGTACTCTTTGTTTCTAACAATATTTTTCTGTTACTTCATTGTTCAGTTTTTGGAAGGCACCTTTTGCTATCTCAATGCACTTTTGGATTTCTGTATCGCACTTTCCATCTGTTAATATGCTTCCCAGGTGTCTAACTTGATGTACCTGTTGGATTTCTGGTATCTTCAATCTGTAATTTGTATGTTGGACTGTTTATTTTGCTAACAACACAACTAATCCTAAGTTATTTTGTAGGGTTTTTTTTATCTATTATTTTTACTATCAGTATTTTGTTTAAGAAAAAATTTAAAATATTAAATATTTTATACAACACAAAGTCCATAGTTTTTCTGTAAACTAAATATTTCTACAGATTGTAATAAAGATATTTCATCCCCTTTTCTTGGAAGAAAGAATGAATTTAAACAGTTTTTTTATATTAAAGAGAATAAATAAGAAATAACTGTTTGTGAAATAGTATACTTTATTAATCCAGCAAACTGACTTGTAATTTTAACATGTTATTTTATTGTTTTAACAGAGGTTACTTCCTGCAGGATTGGTCAAAGCTCTTGACATTTCCAAGTTTATTACTGAAATACAGGTAAGCCTCCTTTGTATTGTATTGAGTTAACATGCACACTCACAACACACACATGTACCTTAACACGCACTCACACGCTGGTCACACGCTGGTCAAAACACACGTGTAGAAGCAATATGGTTTAAGGCTTTACCAAAGTCTACATGTATGGGAGTTCTTGATTGGTCACAAAACTGTCCAATCGTGGAACGTCTTCTTGCTACCTCAATGGGAGATATGATGCTCTTGGTTATCTTTTCACCTCCAGGATGTAGACAGAAAACAAGCACCCATCTGTCCCTCTTCTGACACTATAAGCCAGACCTTTTTGAAAGCAGAACTTTCATTGTTTTATAACAAAAAACATTTACAAAAGGTAAAAGTTTTGTATGTTGTATATCGTTTCTCAATTGAGTAAATGTCATGTCTGGTTTATTTTTGGACTATTCTTATTCTCTTTTCAGTCATGCCCATAATGTCTGCTAACATGAATGATTATATCTTTATTTTACTTTGTATTTTAACATTATTACTAAGGTTTTATGAGCACTTATAAATAATACATTCATGATCAATTCAAAAATTATCATTCTTAATATTGAATATCTAATAAAATGTTCTTAAAATGATTTCTAAATGGTCAAATTATATCTTGGTCATGAGATGATTCAAGCATGTAAATCTCTCTTGGTAGTACTAAAATCTGAAAGGTATGTAGTGTTAGTAATAAAAAAATTATTAAATATCTCCCAACCTTTATTACTAGACTAAGTAATAATCTGGAACCAAAATAATTAATAATAAAAGAAAAATTAAAAGTTAAGCACTTTAAAATAGAGATAAGAATGGTAAATAACAATAAAGAAAGAAAAAGTTAGATTATAAAAAAAAATTAGTTAAATAAAATATAGAATATCCCATGATGCATCAGAACAATTATTTTATTGCCAAAAGAAACAAAAATCAAAACTTTCTCTTATTTTTTGACTGCTAAATGAGGCAGACGCCCTGGACACCTCTGATTAAGAGGTCTCCCTCAGTGAATTATAATACAAATATATAAAAAATTACATTCAGACAAGGTCAATGCATCACCAGAACCCTTACAACAGGTCTTTAGTAAAATTCTTCATGTAATAAAATGATATACAATTCCATTTGGCAGTACAATGATGAATAAATGCATAAAATGTCCCTTACAAGTTCTGTATCATCCCTTTTAATTAAAGAATGTTGTACCAATTATTCTATAATTTGTAAATTTTCTTCTCTTGCGATTCTTGCTTCACAGTCAGTTTTGATCTTCAAAGTTTAAATGTAATTATTTTCTGTCTTCTTATTCTTTTATTGTCCTTTTTCATTAATAGTTTTTTCTCATATTCTCTCACAATCGGTAACCTCTTGCATGTTAGTGGCTTTATTGCCTTACTTGGGATGAATATATTGAATCAATTGCTATATTACTAGGACAGTCCATTCCTTATGCTGTGCTAGAGTTTTCCTTGCCAGACTCTATCTACTATTTGTCTGTGCATCGAATATTGTTGCCATATCTGATCTGGTGCTTCTGCTATGTGTCTAGAGATTCTTGACAAAATCTAAAGAATAATTAGCAATGTTATCGCTCCTGACCTGGCATTTCAGCTTTGGTCCCACTGCATTAATGTATCTTTCATTTGCCTCTTCTATGAATATTTTCCTGGTAACTGTTCTGATGAGCTTTCCTCTTCAGTACCTCAACTTCATGAATTTAAGTGCAGTACTATATTGGCAGCTAGGTCTCATGATTTCACTGTTGAAATTGCTAGATGCATCCATAAGTTTTATGCTAATTGTTTCTTATCTTGCACTTTTTGCTTGTGGAGCTCTTTTCTGGCATCCTGCTTTCTCTGGAATAAACTACTTCTTATTTTCTATGTGTCAACCTTTTCTATTTACAACATAGATGTTCCCAGTTTAATTTGACTTTCAAACTATTACATGGCCAAAACACAAGATTTGTTTTTTTGAATCTCTGCATGGCAAAACATGAAGCTGAAATCTGTCTTTATAAAAAAGCTTCTCTCTTGGTAAGATTTGCTTTTTATACCGGATCATCGTTTCCAATCCTTTTCTATAGTAAAATCGCTTACAATGTATTTCTGTAATAAATACATTTGCAATTTGATACATTTAGTAGCCCCAGTCAGTAATATTTACTATCTGGCCATTCTTTTCTTTTTATTTCCACTTCATTTCTCTAATAAAATCACTTAAAATTTACTTCAGCTCTATACTTCAAATGTCTCTGTTTAAAACTCTGAACTTTTATCTACTATTTATTTACTTTATTTCCCCTCATTAGACAATAGACCCACTCTGTTAGTAATAGGCCCCAGTAATTTCCGATACAATAGACCCAGTTTGTTAGTAATAGGCCCCATTAATTTCTGATAATCTTTTCTTTTTGTTTTTGCATTCCAGTAAAAACAATACATTTATAATGTTACATCTAATAGCCCCGTTTTGTCAGCAACACTTAATTCTTGTTCACTGACAGTCCCTTTCTTCCTGACGTTCAATGTATAACATACAGATTGTTGAAACTTGTCATAACACATTTGCTAGTCTAGTGAGTTTTGCTCTTTGTTGCATGCCTTACACTTATGAACTTGTACCAGACTTAGCTAAGCTTAGTAAATATCTATAGTGAAATGCTAATACTTCTGAGTTTTTTTATTGCATAAACATTCATTAATTTCTTCTTTTTTTTTTTTTTTCATTCCACAGAAAGCAAAAGAAAATCTCCGATCAATTGAAGAGAACATAAAGGACAACAAAGACCACAACATTGAAAAAGTGATGAACAGTCTTCTTTATTTGTTCCTTGATATTCACAACATTGACTATCAGCTCAGCTGTCAATTGCATGTCTAGCTCAGGGTTTCAATATACAGCAGGATAATCACACATTGAATATTCTATCAAACTTTGGAGGAAAACTGATAGAATACTTGAACAATTATTTTTTTTTCACTTCCATTCAGGCTTTTGAACCCAAGACAAGTTTTTTTTTTGCCTTACAGTTGTACATTAAATCCTTCAAATCATTCTTCTTGCCTTATCCATTTTTAACACATGCACACAATCTTATGTTTAGTAATAGAGATTTATAATGTCTTTACTTTCTGTGTGTATATATATATATATATATATATATATATACTAGCGTCATGGCCCGACGTTGCCCATGCTTGATTCAAAAATCATACGACTCATCCAGCAATCGCTATCACTTGACTTAAAATATTTTTGCCCTTCCTTGCCTTTAAAGGAGTGCCCTTTGCTGTGCTGATGTTGCTACATGCCTTACTTCTTGCCTATCTCACACTGCAAATTTTTTCTAAGCTCTATACTAAACATTAAATCTGTTACGAAAAAAGAACTAAACAAAATGAACACAAAACGATCAGCTTTAAAAAAGGACTCGTAACTGGAAAAACCGAATGAAAAAAGAATGTTAACAATAAGTACTTTTTTACACCCAACCCAGTTCTGCGGAATCAGAATCAACGTTGAGTTTAAGCAAGCGAATGAGCCAATTGGAGTAAAGTGCCATGCAGATTTAAATTTTTCACACTTGTGACGAATGCAGCTATCGATTTTTTTTTTTTTTTTTTTTTTTTTTGCATGCTAACATGCTAGTTAAAATTCATGTCAGTCAGCTGTTGGCTCTCATGCTGGCCAATACAATCTTCCTGCCTATTCGTGGCAGCCAGCTTCAGGCTCTCACTCTGGCCAGTAGAAAATGGCCGCAAACTACATGAAAACTGCCATAGAAGCATGAAAAAATCAATTATTTCCACTATTGATGGGAGTTGGGAAATGCAAAGTCAGTCTTGGCCTTCCCGCTAACTTTGTGCATGTAGATTTTGGTGCAAATCCGTCGAAAATTGTGGCTGTGCATTTGTTACACACACACATCCTACCTTATATATTAATAAGTATTACCCCCATGCAAAGCAGTAAAGCCACTAAGGCACAAGGGGTTTCAGGGTGTGGAAAAATTAAGAACAGAAAAATTAATAATGAATGGGAAGAGGAAAGAGTAATCAGGAGGATAGTAGATATCGATTACCATTGCATTTAAAGTTTTGCAGATTAAAATTGGCTGGAAAGCTTGGAGCCAGAAATTAGTTCTACAAGTGAAGTGCAAGAAAAGAAACAGCATAAAATTTATGGTTACATCTAGCCAACTCAACTGTAAATTGATGAGATCTCAAAGCCAGACTAGCACTGTGCTTAAATTCATAAAGTCCAGACCCCATAGCACAAAAAAGTCACCCAAAAAATTACCATGGAACTATTTATAGAAAAGACACCCTTACAGTGTTGGGAGAGTGACTGAAGCCTAGCCATTAGATCAGGATCAATGATATTGCTGATTCTTCTTTGGATTTTATCAAGGAGCTCAAGGCAGGGGCACCAGACCATAAGTGGCAGCAATATTTTAAGCATGGATGAATGGTAGACTTATAGATATTTAAGATAATCCTTTCTAGTTTTCTAATTAGGTTCTTGATGTTAAGCTGAAATTCACCAAGGAATGTCCCATAGTTTTTGTTAGTGTAAGAACTTTCGATCTCTTCAGAGATCATCCTCAGGGATGAATTACAAAGACAAACTCATTGTAGGTGTGATTTTTGAAAACATGTGAATGTGCTCTGCTATATTATTCAATATAACATGTTTGAATAAAGATATGCTGCACATACACACACACACACACATATATATATATATATATATATATATAATAGCATTATTATGTTGGTAACAATAATTCATGACTTTCTGATTCTAAAAGCATGCGATACAGTAAAGAAGATCAATCATGGTGTTCTACTATTACAGGCCCATCACCAAGACAGGAGGATGTCTCAACATGAAAAAGATGTGATGTGAGCTGCAAGTAAGAATTTGCAAATTCTTATTCTCAGCCCCACTGACTTAAAGGCCAGCCCCTCAAAAGAATCTGGCAATGGACCTGTACAATCCTAATGTAATTGTGTGTGTCCTGCTCTTTGTTACTTTGCACAACCGTTACGCCCTGCCAATATCATAAATTATGGACTATTCCATTTTGATTGCATAGAAAGGAGTGCAGATTTAATTTCAGCTTGGAGCTAATTTCAGCTTGGAACTATTCAAATGAAATTAAATTTTAATTTATTGATTTTCTTAAATTTTGATCAATAACAGCTTCTTTTGAACGAGAGTTTTAAAAAAAAAATTTTTTAAAGTTACAAAAAAAAATAAAAAAACAGCTAAGCAATCTACTGTTCTTGCTACAAAATAAACATTGCATTTTTATTGGATCAGATTTAAATGAATAAAAGTAAATAAAAAAGTACTTTATTCATTTGCAACAAAAAAGCATAAAAGTTGCAGAAAAGATGAATTATCTAATCTACTAAGGATTTTTAATGCTAAATTAAAAAATTAACACCAACTCATTGCATTTTGTTTAGGAATTCACAGAAATTGATAACTTTAATTTTAAATCTAGTTGAAATTAGTTCTTTCACTCCATAGAAAGAGGGGAATAACACTACTTGGTTTCAGTGAGAAAATGAAAGAAAGAATGGAAGATAGAAGTGTTTAAGACCTATTTTGATGAAATAGGAAAAGTTGTCAATTTCAAATTGTTTCATTTGTACCCCCTTACTTCTTAAAATAACGACCAGCATTCATATTTATGATTGTTGTTGTCATATTTCGTTAAAGCTGTTAAGCTCAAATATTTAACGATGTGATATGGGAATTTCTACAGAGATTTTATTGTCATAATGAGCTTACTCAAGCATTAACTCAAGAATTAAGATTCATCAGCGTATTAAAAAAGGAAAACTGAAATTTTCACAAGTCAAAACTAGTTAGCATAAATATTACAATAGTGTTTTTTATTCATTTACAAAGTAGTCTTAGAAAGTTCCCAGATGAAAAACTGGTAAATTCCAAAACTGAGGCAACATAACAAGTTCTAATTCCAATTCTGTTGGGCTCATAAAAACAATTATAAACAAAATATTCACTTTGATTCGTTTAACTTTTGAAATGAGTTGAGAATGTTGATTCACAAGCGTCACTGGGTTTCTGGTTTGTTTAGACAATAGAGCAATTTTACAAACTCAGATAAATCTCGTGTTTCCATAAAAAGTTCAAAATCAGGGTTAATATTTCTAATTTTGTGACAAACTTTCACAACTATAGAAAAGTAATCGTGTATCTCTAAATTTGTACAATTTTTTCCTTTCTGCTTTTTTTTCTCTTTTTCTCCTGTTACTTCCTTTTCTCTTTATTCTGTTAGTTGTCAGCAGTGACTTTCAGTTTTTCTTTTTTCTGTTCTCAGAAGCAGCCCATGTTCATTCACCAGTGAAAACTAAAGATATTCTGCTTTCTTCTTCATTTAAGTTAAGCTCCCAGAACCAGCCATATCTTCATTGTGATTGTCGAAATCCTTCTCTGCTTTTTAGTTTGGGTCCCAGAAACTGCTAATGACTTTCACCTGTGAAAGCCAAGCCATTCTGTTTTTACTTTTCTTTTTCTTCTAATTTCACTTGCCCAGAACTACCCTTAAATAGCTAAAAAATGGTTTCAAAATTGAACTAAAAATTCAAAGCTATGGGGGTTTAATTTAACATTACCCATTGGTTAAGTCATAAAATGTATCTCTTTAAACCATACCTGTTTGCAAACTCATCTAGCAAACTTATTTCAGACTTGATTTTTTTTTTTTTTTAATTTTTGAAAACCAAGTTTTATACCTGTATCTTTAAAAAAAAAAAAAAAGCTGTCAGGCTTCATTTTGGTATTTCTTTAATAACATCAATTTGAGTTTCACAAATACAAAGTTTTGCACATCAAATTTTAGGCAAGCCATTTTGTTTTTACTGTCTGGCTTCATTTTAGCATTTTTTTTTTATTTAAGAATGTGTGTTAGTAACTTTCTTCTTTTAATAAGTGTTTTTTTTTTTTTTTTTTTTAAAAAACACTCCCCTCAAAAAAAGAAAAGTAAAAAAAGGTGTAATAGACATACCTAGTCTAACTGTTATTATTTTTTATATTCACCCTTTAATTATTTTTATATAATTTTACATTTAATTTTCTTATGGAAATTTATATAAGTTGATGTATGGATGACCAAACCAGCATGTGAACAATAACCCATTTAAGAACTGTCCGATTATATATATTTTTGGGGGGGGGGGGGAGTGTAAAAATAAAAAATAAAATTCCTTCCCAAAGGACTAAAACAAATGAAAGTAAAAATATACATACAAGAAACAAAAAAATTAAAACTAAAAAAAAAGTAGAAAGGAACATTTGAACTTTGGATTAACCCACTTAGCTTTATGTCACATGTCATCTCATCTAGCCACTTAAACTCTATTTAAACTTTGCCTGCTGATCTATATATGTGAGAGAGGGGAGGGGAGAAAGCTCTTAGAAAAATAAAATGTTCTTTTCTGTATTATTATTATGAATCTATTTATTCAGTAGTAATGTAATAGTAACAAACAAAACAGAGACAATTTGTAAAACGAAAGTTAAATGTAAACTGTAATAATAATAATAATTTGCAGATTTATGATTATCCCTTTAAAGAATCACGTGACCTGAGTGTGTTCAAGCAATTTTTTCTGTATGCACAAGTTTTAAAATTGATGGCTACCGAAATTTGTAGCTTAAAAGTTTATTTCCTACTAGTGGTTGAGAAAGAATAGACAATTATTCCAAACCAGATAAAAAAATATTTGTTTTTTACACAACACCGGGCCCAAGAGACACTCATGTAGGTACCTCCACTATTTCAGCATAAGCTTCTGATACCTAAAGTTTGAAATGATTTTTAAAAATGAAAAAAAGCATTCTAA